TCATTTTAATGCTATTCAAAAAAGATACCACGTATTTCTATACTGACAGAATGTCGTGGAATGTCGAATAGGATAGATGCAGTTCGACTGCATTTTCTTATTTTTACCAACATGAGAAAATACGGCATTAAAAAATTCTGAAAAAATTCTCAGGGTTTTACGAGAAAAAAATGTACAATTTTTGTCTCTCGTTGTTTTTTTGTAAAGTTGACAGTATTTGAGTAACAAAATTATTGAAAAGCAATATTCAGTGATTTTTCAATAATTAATATCTCGTTAACCATTGTGAAAATTACAAAATGGTAGAGGACTTTTCGATTCGGTATAGTCCGCTCTATCTACGCAAAAGTGCTTGGCAAAAATTTACAGGACTCTGTATATGTATATATTAATATATACATTAATATCGGTACTCAAATGTTTCCAAAACAATAAGATAAAAAATGGGATATATATGAAAATATACAGACAATACAGTAATAATGTTAAGTCATTAACTACCAAATTTACCGAACAAAATTATAGTAAAGCTACTGAGGTAGTGTATCATGTTTATATGTATATAATAATAAACTTTGCATAGTTATAAAACGATCTTCTTAATTTAATATAACATATTATATATGCTTAGAGAATGCCACACATGTATTACAATGTATAATCTTATCAGTTTTAATCACACAAAGATTATACAATTAAATATTTTTAATTTCTGTAAATTTATATATAATCGTATTATATAATCTATATCTGTCCATCCATGTTGTATGTTGCTACATGTTGAGACAGCTGAGATAATTTAAAACTTCGATAAATCTCCTAATGAAAAAGTTTACTTTCGAGATATGAACGGATTACTATAAGCTATGTTGCTACGTATTAAAGTTTAAATGCGAAATTAGCAATGAATTTGCACTGATATATTTGCACTGATATATTTAAAATAAATTCAGAATTATATTGTGTAATATGCATATTGGAATCCCTCATTTTCACATATTATCTTTTTATATTTAATAAGCAAAGCTTCTTTTAGTATTTGTAAATTATAGCTTATATTTCTATATAGGAATATTCAAAAAAGATATTAATTTTTAATAAGAAATACTTTTACTTATAAATTTTATATTATCTAGAAGCATCGCGAACGAGAGCCTTACACGCCGTGACTGTAAAATCGCTGAAACGAAGTTAACCCAAATCCATACATATCATAACGGTGTTTTCGAGGAATCGAATTATCGGACGACCCATTTTCGCCCACTGTCGCGCCACTCCTTTTTGACCGTTTGCCGACGTGGAAATGATAACACGTGCCTGCCGGGCATCAAAGAGGAAAAATGGTGTTTGCCGAATGTCGATAAGACTCGCCCTTCGTTTCACAAACCGAACGGAAAAACATCATCTCCCGATGTTCTACGTCGTGTTATTTACGCGTTGGTATAGCGCAAACTTTTGCGAATATTTAAAAAGTTATCTGTTCACCCCATAACTTTCTCACCTGGACCGAGTTTTCGGACGTCGATACACCTCGGACGTCGTGAGCGCCCGCGCATTCTCGCAAAAGTTAGACGTGGTGCAAATTTGCGTTTCAGAAAGTTTCTTTCACACCACACAAGTCTCGGAGAGACCTCTTGGCACGCATCTGCCTAAAGTTCCATTTTTTTTAACAAAATTTTATTCAAACTAAATAAAAATTTACACAAATATAATACAATCTAATTTTATAGATGAATATCTAAGTGAAATAATTGGTTTTTTAGAATATTACTTTTAAGATTAAAAGTTTTAAGACTATTAACATTAAAAAATTTATATACATATATCAATAAATAGAATTCACAAATATATCATAATTGAAAAAAGATATATTTAAATCAGTGTCCGAGAGGAGAGAACTCTCTAATCTTTCTTTGAAACAAAAATTGGAGAAGCTGCTTTTATATTTTCACCGCACTTTTTAAATAAAACTTAAGTAATTTCTCATAACATTTAATTTTTAATATAATTAGATGACAGATACGTATATAATTCTTTAGAGACATCTTTGCTTCACTGAATAAATTGACAATGGCGTTGAATTATGACTAAATAAAGAAGGCAAAACGATCCTCGATTGTTTATAGGCTGATTCGCTTCAGCTGTCGTTAACACGAAAAGGCGAGGAGAGGTACGAAAGGTACAGATTACCCTACTTCCTTTGAGCAAATGTTGCCAAAGAACGAAGACCGATCTGTATGTTTGACTTCACCAGAACGCAGCCGTTTGATTATGCGACGCCCGTCTAATATTATACCTTCTCTATTCCGGCAGACTCTCAGGCTGCATTGTACGCAAATTTAATGCCACGTAATAGCACATGCGCGCAGCAGAATCTACTTCGCTAATCCCCTTCAAAATTTCATCGGTGGTGTTATATGTAAGCCGCACGGTGCGATCGTTAGAACGTATAACGGGTAACGCGTAAGTCGGATATGCTCAATCGCTTGTTATGCGCGAACTGCCGATGCAGTTGGGCTGGAGATATGATGTAATGTTGATTCTCGCGTTCCTACGTACACGCCATAGCATTACGAGAGTTACTCGGAAAATAGCTCTACTTACTGGATTAAAAATTAAAATGCGTGAATTATGAAAAAATTACACTACGCGAATCTACGGCAGGTAAATTACATGAATATTATTTCAGAAATTAATTACAAAATGATAAAAAATACATAGACTCTTCAAAAGATGAATCTACAATGAAGTGCTATTTCATTTTCATCTTGTTCTTTATGTTATGAATGACTTAACGAGTGGTCTTTCATCAGGTTCCACTTTCATGTCAATTTTTCTCGCTAATAAAAAATATCAAAGAAGATTATTCATCATGTGATCAAGTTTTAATATTAGTACTTTTTTTAAGTACACTGAGAAAAAAATATCCTAAATTTCAAAATAAATATTTGAATAGTATCTACCGACTAAATATAATATTTATTAAATATAAAAATATATTTATTTGGTACAAAAAAACATCTTTTTTGTATTACATATATTTGATTTAACAATCACTTCTTTTTATTAAGTAAACATTTATTTATCGTAAGTAAATGTATAGTTGGCAGTATTCAAATAAATATTTATTTGAATTTAGGCTATTTTTTTCTCACAATCAGTGTAGTTCTCAAATTAAAATATTTATCAAGGAATAGATTTATATTTTAAGAATGAGTTACCAAAATATCTAATAAGAAAGATTGAAAATTAATATTAATCACATATAATTTTTCTCGACATTTTTTCATAAAAGACAATAGCTTCATATGTTATTTTAAAGATTCAAAAAGTGGCTTGTTGAAATATTTTAATTGAAATATCAAATAGTAATTGATAGAAAGACTGAAAGAAAATATGTGTGTGTATGCCAATTCTAGAAAATTTTATAATTTCGCGTTGTTGCGTAAGACTTTTCTCTTCTATTGTCCTATACGCTAAACAGTAAATAGCTCTCGTTACGTAGTGAGAATTCTGTAGGTGGAAATCCTCTGAGGGATTTACCGCGCCGTTAATTTTACGGGGGTACGGCTGGTGAGAGCACATGGAACAACCTTCTCGAACGTAGAGCATCCACAGGTTGTCGTCTGACCTAATCTGACCTAACCCAAGTGATTAAGGACGTTGAATCAATGGAGAGAAGACGAGGAAATTTCAAGGGCGATATATCTTCTATTGTTATCCTTTTAATCATTAGCTTTCTAAACAAAGAAACTTGTTAAATTTCGTCGAAGCAAAATGCTCAGTGAAATGTAAAAACCTGATATTTCTCCCAATAATCTGAAATATTGGATTCAGCAAATAAATAGAAAATTTTTCGGTCATCGGATAGATTGTCAGTTCAATACTGTCGTATGAGTTGAAACGTACCAACAAAATAAGCTTTTCACAAAACTGAAATCTCTCTCTCTCTCTCTCTCTCTCTCTCTCTCTCTCTCTCTCTCCTCTAATATTTTTTATATCAGTTTCTCATATATAAAAAAAATTTTTATGATAAATAATTCATAAATTGTTATTAATGTTAATATAAAAATATGAAAGAACAACAAATAGTTTTATGAGATAATTGTGTTGCAAAACTGACCAATATCTAATTGATACGCAGTTCTATGTATCGCTGATATTTTGCGCAGGCAGTGATATTAGACTGGCGTTTGAAAAATTTATTTATTTCGTATTTATTTACTCTATGCTATGTACACAGATGTCAGTCGCTATTTATTTTCTCGAAATATTAAAATTACTGAGCTTACACAGCACGTTAAATTCGTTTCTTACGATCCCTTTTAGAATCTCGTCTTGCTCGTTTGTGACTCAACAATCATAAAAATTGGAAATAATTATAGTGAAGAGTTTTGTCAATTGTAGAAATTGTTGTTCAGCTTTCTCAACAATATACTAGCACCTCAATAATGGCAGAATCAATTATATTTCAAAGATAATAGTTTTTTCATTTTTGCTGTTCGTTTTGGCAAAACGTCCAGCTTTCGATCTTCGTAATCCAAAGCCCTGAAAAGCTTAACAACAAAACGAATAACAACATTCTAGAACAAATTTTGGTCTTGATAGATTGTTGTTGTACGCTTCGTTGCTTCTAACCATTGGAGGTAGGCTCGTAAAGGTGGAATCAATACGTGAACCTACAACCATCTCTACTTACACAATACTAACCGGCCAAGCCCGAGAGCAATGTGTATATACCTCGTACCTCTCATTTTCTCCGTCGCGATACAGTTGCTCAATGATTGTCGCCCTCTCCTTGTGTGTGTTCCTCTTTAAACCCCTCTTCTCTCTCTTTTCACCACTAAATCCTCCGCATATTTCCCCACTCTTATTTACGCCGATTTTCTTTGCCTAGTATTTTCTCTCTGTTTTTTTATCTCGTACTTTCATGATAATGCAAAATCCTGCCGGATGAATGCCAGCTCCTCTTTTGACGGCGCGCCTTCATTCTGTTCCAGGAAATTCAGCGCCGTCACTCCATTTTCGAGCCCAGTCAGCACACGTTGGCCGACACAGTTCGGTAAACAAATGCTCTCGATGTGATTTATAGCTTATGCACTTTCCTCTCCCTGAAATACTTACAAGTAGTTTAGTTCCTTCAAATGTGATTGTTCTCCTTTTCCATTTTGTTCTTTTTTTATTATAGAAATTGTCGCCGCTAGATTTATATTTAGAATTAAAAAAATCGGTAAATTAAGTTAAATTAATAAACAAATATCTTTTATTTCTATATTTTATTCTTGATGATAAATGCGTTACAACCCATTTTATAGAAAGCTTCTTACAAGCCTCATATAAGTTTTAAGACTTATTATCTTTTTGACAATATTTGCAAATAATTTATAGACATCTCACATTCAACTCAAACACAATTTGCAGAGTATCAGCATTCAGCTCAAATCCACAAACCTATATACTCGTATATTTAAAAATTAAATTTGTATAAAGGCTACGAGTAAAAGCTGGGTGTCAAATACTAAAGTAAATTTTAATATTTAAAACATATTTGAGATATATAAAATAAACACATACGTTTCAACCTTCATTAGGTCATCCTCAGTGTAGCAGATATCTTTAATGATAAAATTCGCAACGCAAAATCGCGTTCAACAATTTAAATTATACTGATTTACAAACTTCCAAACATTCTTTCATTCGTTTGAGGTAGTTTCCAATAGATTATAACCTGCATAATTCATCATTGTTTTCCCTTCGACATACCTACCCGCACATTTTAATCTTTTTCATTTTAACTGAGATGTTGAACGCATGTAAATGATGACAGATGTTAAGACCGTTGCAATCTAATGATATCTTGAGAGTTTATAACTGATGTAATGTCGATCCATGTTGGAAAGTGAGAATGGCAAATATTGGAAAATATGATGGAACAATTATTTCTAGATTGCGATGATCGAAATATAATGTATACTGTGATTGAATTGTGCAGGATTATAATCTATTGGAAACTATCTGAAACGAATGAAAAAATGTTTGTAAGTTTGTAAATCAGTATAATTTAAATTGTTGAACGATTTTGCGTTGCGAATTTTATCATCAAAGATATCTGCTACACTGAGGATGACCTAATGAAGGTTGAAACGTAAATGTTTATTGTACATATCTCAAATATGTTTTAAATATTAAAATTTATTTTAGCATTTAACACCCAGCTTTTTTTTACTCGTAGCCTTTATACAAATTTAATTTTTAATTATTTGAGTAATATTTTTGATTATTTCTATATATATTTCTCTTTCTCTTTTTGGCGCGCGTGTAACGATAATGAATTTATTTGATTCGCAGGAATGGGGAGTGTCGGCAGCAACGTGACAGGGACGACGACAGATCCAACGACGTTCCTGCCAGACGCAACTCCGACATTAAGCGAACGTGAACAGGTCAAAATCGAATTTTACAAAACGTACGATGTCATGACGGGGGTACGGATCGCCGCGACCCTTGGTGGCTTTTTCAGCTTAATGGTATTGCTGGTAGTTTACAAGAGCAGGTAATTTTAAGAATGTTAAACCGATATTTGCGACGTCATTAAAATACAATTAAAATATAATTAATATATTTATCAGATGCAAAGCGAGTAAACAACTGGAAGATCCAACATTGACTGCGGCGGCAGCCGCGGCGGTCGCGGAAGCTGAAGCTGAGGAACGAGCTCTCGCCGCTGCTCTCGAAGCGATCGCCAGGTTACCACCTAGGCTAGGTCGTGGTCCGAGAAGATCATTATGCGTTGAGGTATACCGTAGCAATTTAAATAATTTTATCAAAATAATTAACAAATATACATCTCTAAAATGAAATACATTTTTCTAAAAGTGGTATGTATCATTAGAATTAGAATATTAACAAAATCGTAAATATTCTATTTTTGTTGAAAAATTAAATGATCATTTATGTTTCTTCTTTAATCTCTAACATTATAAAGTAGTAAAGATATCGATATTTCTTAAAGTAGTAAAGATATCGATATTCCTTACCGAATTATAACAATTTTTATTTAATAGCAAATATATTGTAACTGAACAAATTGTCGAGAAGATTTATGTATTAAAACATCATTATTGATTGGATCGTGCAGTTTTCAAGTAGTAAAGTTTTACACTTTTTCGACAGAATATAAAAATTTTGGACTGATGCCATGCCATGTCAGAAAGTGCTCTCTAGTTCACAGAGTGGCATTCAGAGAATGCTCTCTAGTTCACAGAGTGGCTTTTAATTTGTAATTTGTCCGTTCGCCAAGCACTTGTAATTGATAGAAATATTTACGTCAGATGGATCAGTCTCATTCACCCGTGGTGGCACCTCGCTTCGCCTCAGTCGGTGGATACGATTCCCTGCTGGCACCGCCAATCAGGCAACCGAGGTTGGTTCCCCCGGTCGATCACAGAAGATGTAGTTCGGTCACCTGTAGCAGCACTGGAAGCAGTTATCTGGAACGAAGGGGTTCAGCCATGGTAATGCCGTGCCTTCCACCTCCTCCATCCTATCCGCGTCACGCCGCCTACGATGAGCCATGGGATTTATATTACCCTATCGATATCCAGGTACACTCGATATTTGTAATCTTATGTCTTTCGAAACGATTCCTTTTTAATTCTTCCCAATAGTCGACAATGAAAATTAAATTGCTCTGCGCCTCTATTTTTATTTAGAACCTTTATTCTATAATATTTTAAATAAAATTATCAAAATCTTAGATAATAATACTTCTTCTTCTTCTTCTTCTTCTTCTTCTTCTTCTTACATTAGGCCTCTGGTCTGTGTTATACTTCTTTCATATGCTTGTGATTGTGCACGCTAATTATTCAATTGCCACAAACATATGGGACCTACAGTTTTAATGTCGATTCCGAATGGCGGATTTTTCGAGAGGTGGGCAAGGATACTCTCGGGAGATTGCCGGCTTTTTCCGAGAGGAGACACGAACGTAAATATTTTGGTCCTACCAGAATCAAATTCTCTGGGTCCTGATGACCAGTGCGCTGTCTGCCATGCTATGCTCGCGCTCTGGATAATGTGTGCCTTCCAACAAGCGACACAAGTACTATACAACACAGAGTGATCATGTCATCCTTGTTTGACAAACAACAAGGATGTAATGATACACTGTGTCACACTATGCCATCTGTGTTGCTTGTTGGAAGGCATACAATTACCTATATTATTATAATTTTAATTATACCTTATACACTAATACTTTACTATTCCATTCTAGAATATAATTTAGCTCACCTGCTACAAATGATAAATAAAAATGAGTTACGGCTCCTGCACACTGGATACGGAAACACTTGTCGCGCGACAAAATGTAACACGGTAATCAATGAACATATTAGGAGCTGTAAGCTTATTGGCTACCGCGTCATATTTTGCCGCGCGACAAGCGTTTTCGCGTCCAGTGTACAGGAGCCATTAAACCACATTTAATTCTAAAAAATATCACCAAATATTATTCATTTATTGAAAATTTCTATAATGTAATCAGGTCATACAGCCAACTCCGGATTTATCGCCATGCGGAAGCGAAGTCGGTCTTTATGCCGGTGCAGTCGGCAGCCTTATGGCGGCGTCGTCGGGCAAAAGAGCACCGTTGGCATCGATGGGTAGCGTAGATCCTCCCGATCCAGATACCAGGTCGCTCGGCTCCGATTCGGTCTTCTTGAAGAACGAAGACGAGGAGCAGTGCGTCGATACTGAGGATGAGGTCTCGGGTTTTTCTACGGACTCGGATGCGCCTGGGCCAAGCTGTCGGCGGTTCCTACGGGTGCCTTCTAGGAAAAAACGGATTCCTGAGAAATGGGATGGATGCGCGGGCTGCGTGCCTAGGCGACGGGCCGGTAGTAAACCCTGCCAAGAATGTTTGACCATCAGTGCCGCCGTCGAAACCTCCAGGTAAATTCCTATCACGAATTCTCACACGAAAAAGAAAATGTTGCTGTCACAACGAGAGACTATATAGCTGCAAGCTCTGTCGTCAATTCTAATTTACTTGGAACTAGTATACTTGGTTACTGCTTTCGTGCCTTCGCTGACTGCATGCTTCGCCAATTCACCGGGCAACAAGAGTCTCACAGCCTAGATCTCCCGAGAGATGATCGTTGAGCGTTTGTTGTAATGCACCAATCTCGACGCTTCCGCAGCGATTCTCTCGAATACATCGTTGACAAAGCTGTTCATGATGCTCATAGCTTTGCTGGAGATTCCAGTGTCCGGATGTACTTGCTTCAATACTTTGTAGATGTAAATGGCGTAGCTCTCCTTCCTCTTCCGCTTCTTCTTCTTGTCAGTCTTGCTAATATTTTTTTTAACCTTACCGATCTTCTTCACGGCTTTGCTCGCTTTAAGGGGCATTTTGTCATACAATCGGAAAGCTACTTGCGGATAGAACCACGATACAGCGTTCTCGATGCGCTCGGGAAAATGAGTTAAAGCGAAAAAACTTTGTTATCATAATTAATAATATTAGGTGATTGCATTGAAACCCACTGTTTTTTTTTCGTTTTTTTAAGGATTTATTTTGGAAAAACTTGTTGAGATACCTTAATCAAAATATTTTCCCTCGGATTCTACTAGTTCCTCTCACTTCTCTGACAAAAGTTGAAAAAAAAGTCGAAAGAATGCCCTGTCTTTTGACTCTATCCACTCATCCATCCATTTTTGGACTTCCTCGTAATTACGGAAGTGTATCTTCTAAGGCGTGTTGCATCGACTGAAACAAGTAATAATTACTTGGAGCAAGGTCTAGACAATATCCTGGGTGAGGGAAGACTTCCCATTCCAACTCCATCAGTGTTTTTATCACTGCTAATGTAACATGGGGCCGAGCGTTGTTGTGCAGCAGAATCATCTTTCGAAGATTTGATGCTACTGACAACCTTTTTTCCATTAAATTATCGTTCAAACGCTCGAGTTGCTGTTTGTAACGTTCGGTGATGATCGTTTCGTTGGGTTTCAAGAGCTCATAAAGCACTACTCCCTTCATATCCCACCAGATACACAGCATGACCTTGTAACCATGGATATTCCGTTTTGGTGTGGATGTTGATGATTGGCCAGGATCAACCCATGACTTTTTGCGTTTAGGGTTGTTAAAATAAATTCATTTTTCATTCTCAGTTACAATACGCCACAAGAAACTTTTTTTCTGTGCCTCATAAGCAAAGAAATGATAATGTTTAATCGATTTGCAATGGCGTTCTCGCTCAACTCGTATGGAAGCCATTTTCCTTCCTTCTGAATCTTCCCCATGGCATGCAAACGTTGGGATACTGTTGACTTATCAACATTTAGCTGTTCGACCAATTCTTTAAGCGTTTGCAATTCAGAATCTTCAAATTTTTTTGACTGGCCCGATCGTTGCTTGTCATAAGGGTCGCAATCGCCACTTTTAAATCGTCGGAACCAATTTCTACACACAGTTTCGGATGATGCAGATTCACCATAAGTCTGAATAAGCAATCGGTGAGCTTCAGCTGTACTTTTTTTAAAATCAAAATAGTGTAGAAACACACATCGAAAAAATAACTTATCTCGGTCCATTTTTAACTTGCTCGTTCGAGGCACGTGTCTCAACTAAATATGGCATTTTTGGGCTGGAAGTTTTTTGGCAAGGGGTCACCCTTCAAGGTGACATAAGCGACATTTGTCCGTGCTAAAGTATAAAACACCTAAAGACACCTATAGCCAAACAGCGGGTTTCAATGTAACCACCTAATGTAATAACAAACATGTGTAAATATTAATAATCACAAAAATATCAGACATTTCAATTTACTGAAAATTTTTTTAATAGTATAATTAGATAGCTGATAGAACAAAATCACTATAAAAACAATATTTTTTCTCCCAAAAAACATCATCAAAGAACTGATTATTATATTACTTGTTATAAATGTTTGCATATTTAAGCACTTGAATCTGCGCTCTTCTCTTTTTCCTATAATTATATATTAAAATACACTCGTCTTCTTTTTTTCTTTAATTAATAAATTTTTGATGATAGGTCGCAACCAGCCTCAACAACAACCAGTAGCAGTCAGAGTAGCGTGGGATCTCCACCGTGTTCACCGCCGATCGAGCTAAGGCATAGACCACCACCAACGCCGTTACCATCAATCCCGCCAATATGGTCTCAAGAAACACTCTTTTAAAATGCATCTTTCGTAGTGAGCATGTCCTTCGACCTGTTTTTATCGAGATACGAAGCTAAATTCAGAATGTCGATATTTGAGGAAATCATTTGCTCAAAAGTTGAACATTATCTTTAACCGTCTTGTACTTTTAGAAAACAATCTTTTTTTCTTGGATCTTGTAGTCATTAAAACTCCAGATATAATGTACATGAATTTGGAGATTCAATTGTTATACCGATCAGTGAATTTTCAACTATAATTCACAATGCAACAATTGTCGTATAGAACTGTTATAAAACTATTTTTAAAAATCTAAATTTTGAGGTAACAAAATTAAAAGAAACCAAAATTATATTGGATACCGTACTTAATTTTTATAAATGGCAAGAATATAAAGAAAAAACTACATAAAGGACAAAAGTTAACCGATGAAAGGAAAAGACGAGAGAAGAACGTACGAGACGTAGAAGAAGAACGACGGAAAGCACACATTTTCCGAGTGTGCGAGGAAATATCGAAGATTTTCGATATTATGGCGGTGACTTCTGTCCCGGAACCAGAGCAAACCCATCTTAAGGTAGTCCAAATCGAAAGCATTTTACGTGGATTGTATGGCACACTTCATAGCAAGCACGAAATCCGGGTCGAATTACTCGCCCGTTTAAAAGAACGACACGCGAGGCGAGGCCGACGGCGACTTATAATTAGTCTCATTATATCAGAGATTTCATCTACCGACATATTTCAATCATCTGCCTACCACGTTATACTAGAGAATATACTTGAGTTGGCGAACAATGCATACGCGCGCGGTCGGATTTATCTGAAAGTTCACATAACTGTATTGTGGATATACTCACCAGCATCCCAGACGCACCAGAGAAAATGCGCGCAATTTATCTGGCATCGTAAGCCGTGCTCCATAATCTCTCATGTAGTCGAAGAAGATTGGGCGATTTCATTATTTTCCGTCACTCAGCCATATTCTTAAATCTCTTCATACGAGCATCCTCCGTAACAAGACCAGGCGCACATCGACATTCGTGATCCATTTAACAACGAAAGCAAAGCAAATGCACTTCCTCGCTTAAGACATTCGTGGCGTCCTAATTGGCATTCGTGATGCCGCTCAAGATCGCGAGATCTTGAACAGCCAAACTTGGGATAAGGACGCATGCAATGGTGATCTAATATCGCACAAAGAACTATCCGAGAAACGAGCGAAGAAACTCGTTCCAATCGATCAGGGTGAACCGCGTAACTCGCAACTCAGGAGACTGTCGAAGGAAGGCCGATTGACAATGTCACGGAGGAAATAGGGAATTATTTTTATATACAAGCGCGACGATAATCAAGTTCGTTGAACAGATGCTTCTCGTGAAAATAATAATACGCTCGCAATACTTGATTGTATGACGTCAGTGTAACATGTGATTTTCAGCGAGACGAACGGATGGAAGAGTGAAAGAGAAAGAGAGTGAAAGAGAAAGAGAGGGGGAGGGAGAGGGGGTGAAAGAAAGGGAGAGAGATAGAGGGGGGAGCGACAGGGAGAGGGGAGGGGAGATCGAAAGGGGGAGAGGGAGCGAGAGAGGGAGAGGAAGAGAGGGGAATGGGGTGGGAGGGAGGAAGAGATAGGGAAGGGGCGGGGGAAGGAGGGGGAGAGGGCGCGGAGAGGAAGGAGGGGGAGGGAGGGGAGTGAGAGGGAGGGAGGAGGGAAACAGCACCTTTGTTCGGATAATCGTCGAACCGGTTTTTCCTGTCACGATTTTTCCATCAGGACCGATTCGCCGTCAATCTGACGGTTTCCCTAACGCGAAGAAACAAAACGTATTTCTATTTGTGTAATCTTGTAAGCTCTGTAAAGTTTTGGGTGTACATGTACGTGTCTATAACCCTTTTATTGCGTGCGTGCGATAAATAAACACCGTGCTCGATGGAGGGGAGCCGGAAAACAGAGCGATTGCCGTAAATGGTCTCAGCAAACCAAAGTTGCCCAAGTTTCCCGATTGCCGCATTTTTGCGAAGTGGTCTATTTTATCGATCTTTTCGGCAAAGTTGTTTGGTAAATTTATATCCGGATTGGAATATCGATCGATCGAATATTCCATGGAAACAAAAATCCTTACAACCAGGCCTGTATCTGATTTAAAGAAAAAATTAAGTATTTGAAAGAAATAAGAGCAAGATTAAGTGAAATTGTTTTAGTTCTTTATCTCCGTTATATATAATTCAGTGATATTAGCTGACGAGAAACTCGCTGGGTGTAGAATTAAAATGTTAGAGCGCGTCGGTGTAAAGAATAAAAAGATAAAAAAAGATATATAGTATAGACGAGATATTTATCGTTGACAAGAGCAACTTGTGTCTATTTTCGATAAAAAGGTAAAACGTAGTTGAACCAAGAGAGCCATATATGCCTCTACGTCTACATCTGGAGACTTTTCCGCCGAGGCTAACATCACTGCCGGTCAGCCCCTCCAGGCACACGATGATAAACGAATAAAAAACAGAAAATACAGTAAAATACATTTACATAAAAGAAAAAGGAGCGCACGAAGACTACCTACCGTTGTTCTAGCCAAGAGTTTGTATAGTAGACAAATAAGACGAGCCGAAAAGTTACTATATCGGGAATAAAAAAAAGAAAAAGAGAAGAAATATTATGTAATAGGCCACGCACGCAGTGCTACGACCGTTACTTTTAGATAAGTGTACATACATACACGTCGTGTTACGTTGAACGTATACGACAGCGACTCGCCCTCGCCGATCGACAAAGAACGGAGAGTAGGCGAGACTCTGACGACGTCTACGTGAAGAAGAGACTTTATATTACGTTGGCTGCGTTCCAAACTTCGCCCCGGAGAGGTACGAATTTAACAAGCCGCAAAACAAGACACGAAATACAGAGAGAATATATATTCGGATGACTACATGAAACTATAGATCCATGTAATTCCCTCTAGTAATTTATATGCGGCTATCCGTTACACTCTCGGCCATTAGGCAAAAAAATGTCAACTTTTGCAGACCTAAGAGATTATAAGAAAGTTTCTCGGAGGTAAAAAGGAAAAGAGAAAGAGGAAGAGAGATAGCAAGAGATGTCCAAACTTCAAGGAAGACATGTAAAAGTTTCGTGATAAATAAGGGGAAGTCCCTAATTGGATATCGTATGCCTTATTGAATTATTGTTATATATACGTATAAAAGCCGACATTTCGCTTGAGAATTATGATAACATTGTGAGAAAGTAGTCACAAGAGGCGAAGTTCTAGAACGCGGCTGTAGGAGAATAAAACAGAATTATTACTACCGCGAGGTGCGTTTTGCTATATACCAACACGCTGATGAATTTGTCTCAATCCATTTCTTCCAATGAGGCACGTCCCCATCATTTTTCTTTTCAACAAATGATATATTAGAAACAAATATAGAAAAAAATCTATTTAAAGTTCCTTCGAAAGTCCCGCGTATGCATATATGCATTAATACGAATAACTATGCGTTATTTACTTCTGTCGTAGCTGTCAACCCGAAAGTAATTCCCGCCCGATATCGCATAAGGGCCATCGCACAAACATTGTTGTAACGCCTTATGTCGTCTTATGTCATCCGTAAAACATAACGTAAATAACGCACAGAAAAGAACATAGCGTAAGGAGTGGTAAAGAGCTTGTGCTATATTTTTCTTTGTGCGTTGCTAACATTATAATCTTAGAGAAGACTATACGAGTATGTGAAGTAACGCAAGGCTTTGACATAAAATGGCATAAGGTGCTACGACAATGTGCTATGGCTCTAAGTGAAGTATATATTCTTCATGAGCATTTTTTAAATTAGCGAGATGATTAACAAAATTCTCAGCGGCGTGTGGCGTACAGCATGTCGTTCCGTAGTCGTGTCGTAAGACAAGGAGCTTGAAAACTCGCGAGTGCTGCCGAATTGCCAAATGTAACAATCAAACAGTGTCTAGTTGAAATCTAAAATTCAGAAAGAGAGCCGAGGATAACGTATGCAGAGAGATATATATATATATAGGGTGTTTCTGAAATAACGCTCATTAATCATATAGTGTTATTCCTAATAAAAAACCGAGTCGAAAAGTCCTCTACCATTTTGTAATTATCGCAATATTTTTTTTAATTACCCAATGAGCCAAATGTCTAAAATCGACATATAAGATCGACATGTAAGATATCTTTAAGAGTTCTTTAAGAAACATCTTAAAAATGTTTCACAAAAAACACTGGAAGATATCTTAAAATTGTTTTATACATCGATTTTATCCGTTTTATTCGGCAATTTTTAGAAATAAATATCTCGTTAATTATTGCGAAAATTGCAAAATGGTAGAGGACTTTTCGTCTTAGTTTTTTATTAGGAATAGAACTGTATGATTAGTGGTGAAACGTTATTTCAGAAACACCTTGTATACGCATGAATAGAATGCGTGAGTGCGCGATTGTACGTGCGTGTGCGTATGCCAAGTAGTTTAGCACAATTTTAGGCGGGCGGAATGTATATACATATATACGTACATATATATATATAAATAGGGCGAGTGCGAGACTTTTTAGAGACTGTACAAGAACAAGTCCGTGTCGATTGATTTTAGCATCTAACGTTCGTACAATCACGTGAACCTTTTCTCGGTGCCTTTCTGCCGCACTTCTTCCATCATCGTTTAGAAAAATATACACTCTCTCACTACCCCCCAATCAACCATTTTCCTCTCTATCTCTCTTCCCTTATACTGACTCCTTTTTAGGAGTGTTTCCGTGCGACGCCGCAAAGAACTTGAATGTATTAAAATGAAATCTGCGGATTTCCTTGTTTCAAGTTTCTTTTTTTAGTTCTTTGATCTCTAGCCAAAGTCAGATATTAAAAATAATTTTAATTAAAGATGTCTAGAAAGCAAAGAAAAATAATGTCGGAAGAAAACACATTAATGTACAAAAAGTATTTTTATTGATTTTAAAAAACTTGTACTCATAATATACAATGGAAATTATTATCTTGGTTAAATTCGTTCAGAAAATTATTCTAATTTAATAGAATTAAAAATATGATACTGCTTTTTTTCAACTAAATATTAAAAACAAAAAGATGCACTGCTATATAACTCAAATAAAATTATTATATCTTCATTATTTTTATAACATATTTGTGCAGA